TTTATAACAGATTGGCAGTTTGGCATTGCAGATTTTAAACATCTACCATTGAGAAGTAGTGAGATTCATCGTTCTGCAACCCTTAGCAATCATGTTTTAGTCTTTTATAGTCAGATTAGTAAAAAAAAAAAAAAAACATTAATTCTAATTGGTTGTTATTGATTACTGCTCTTTGTGCATTGCCACTGCTCATTATTGAAGAGACCTGTTAGTACATTACATGCATATGTGCTGGTTCTCTGTAAATCATAACTATAGTGACAAACATTCAAGAATAAAGGACATGAATTATCACATTTTTTCTGTGACTCACAAATACTAACATAAAATGTATTGTATAAAGGTACAACAGCAAGAACTTAGAGAAAAATTGCCTCAAAACTGAACCTATGATGTACAATTACATAATTACTTTTAGTGAAATATGCATGACAAAATGGTCATTAGATCCAGAGATACAGGGTTATGTTATATGCAATTCCCAACTTTTCTAGCAACATTTAAATTTTACTTTAAAAATAAAATTCCTGAGCCTATCTTTTAATCAGTTAATGAGATGCATAAGCTTATTGGCCTTTTGGTAAGTTTGGGAAGCAGGAGAGTGTAAAAGAAGTGCAGTATTACAGAGAAAAAAATGAAATTCGCATACTACTTCAGTATATTATATCTCTGAATCTACTGATTGTTCACTTACGATAGCTTGTGCTTATCTATTCTTTTCATCCTATGCTCTGTGTGAATTACTTACATTTATTTTCCTTTAACTCAATGAGCAACATATTACATTATTACTGTTATTATTAATAATAATATGAATATTATTACTATTAATATAGGATTTATATAGAGTCAACAGTTCGCACAACACTTTACAAACTGAAGGCAAAGATTGCAGGTACAATTTTCAATACAAGAGGAACCAGAGGACCCTGCTTGTTAGAGCTTACAATCTAAAGCATATCGGTCAAACCTGATTATTATTATTATAGTTGTTTGTGATTTTAATTTTTTTATTTCAGAAACACAGCTAAATGTCTAATTACAAATTTCAGAACATTAACACTTTGGGCACAAATGAAGTCTTTTCCCATTACTTTTACAATTGTCACAATCTCTTGTTATGATTGTCATTCTTTTCTTGAAGTTTTCATACCTTTTCCAGCATAAACTAATCTTTAGACAACATCTTTCTTCTAGGAATACTGCCCTTTTAGGGCAGCAGATTTCTCCTAGATTATAACTGTTGACTCTCACTAGTGTGCATGTGCAGTTCTGAGTCTTTCTCCAACAATGTGTATTGAGGCATCCACTACTGCGCCTGCACATTTCTTGTGTCTGCAGCTCCCTCTTCTTCACATGTGCAGTTTTGTATTCAGCATTGACGATGTGTTGCAGACTTATTTTACTGCGCGTGCTCGGTTTTTGTGTCTGTGGCTCCTTCTAGTTCATGTACTGATTTGTGTCTGTGGCTCCTTTTAGTGCATGTGTTGTTTTGTGTCTGTGGCTCCTTCTAGTGCATGTGCTGTTTTGTGTCCGTGGATTCTTCTAGTACATGTGATGTTTTGTGTCTTTGGCTCCTTCTAGGGCATGTGCTGTTTTGTGTCTGTGGCTCCTTCTAGGGCATGTGCTGTTTTGTGTCTGTGGCTCCTTCTAGGGCATGTGCTGTTTTGTGTCTGTGGCTCCTTCTAGGGCATGTGCTGTTTTGTGTCTGTGGCTCCTTCTAGGGTATGCGCTGTTTTGTGTCTGTGGCTCCTTCTAGGGAATGTGCTGTTTTGTGTCTGTGGCTCCTTCTAGGGCATGTGTTGTTTTGTGTCTGTGGCTCCTTCTAGTGCATGTGCTGTTTTGTGTCTGTGGCTCCTTCTAGGGCATGTGCTGTTTTGTGTCTGTGGCTCCTTCTAGGGCATGTGCTGTTTTGTGTCTGTGGCTCCTTCTAGGGCATGTGCTGTTTTGTGTCTGTGGCTCCTTCTAGGGTATGCGCTGTTTTGTGTCTGTGGCTCCTTCTAAGGAATGTGCTGTTTTGTGTCTGTGGCTCCTTCTAGTGCATGTGCTGTTTTGTGTCTGTGGCTCCTTCTAGTGCATGTGCTGTTTTGTGTCTGTGGATTCTTCTAGTTCATGTGATGTTTTGTATCTGGCACAACAAAATGTGTTACAACTCCCTCTACTGTACGTGTGGTTTTTGCATCCCTGTGCACATATGTCAGTCCACTTACAAACATCCACTCCAGCCATTGACAGAGAAAAGGTCCATTAAAGAGGTTTGGAGGTCATGTGACTGCAGAAACAAAAAAAATGGCATCAGTTTTTAATAAATAAACAGCAGATATTGAACAAATAATATAAGAACTGTTTGGGTCAATGATTAAATATTGCCTACACTTCTCTTTGAAGATAATAGAAATTATTATTTTTTTTTATTTCCACAACAGATACAGTTTTTTAGGGTAGCTGGGGGTTCAGCTTCAATTCATACCATTTGTTGCATTTTCTATAATCAGCGATGAGGTTTGAGTTTGTGGAAGAGATAGGGTTCCACTAATTCTCCTTGGTTTCAATTCATTGGAATGAGGAACCTATGTGCGAATGATCAAAATGTCTGGCCTGTGAACTGTGATCAGGTGCTAAAGTGTGGCCAATAATGGGATTTGTTTGACACCCATTAATCTTGGTTAGTGTTATTTGTGTGTGCATGTGTCTGTGTGTGTGTGAGCATCAACTTCTTTTGCTATGTAGCTGCCATTCCTCCTTTTTATTTAGTTATTTTTTTGTAGAGTGTTTTATTGGGCCACTCAATGATTGTTACCTATTTTGGAGCAAAAAGTACTATAACTTTTTAATTGTAACATGCTGAATAAACAGTGAACAAATAAATAAATAACATTGCTGAGTATTGTTCTAATGTAATATCAAGATGGAATTCATGCAAAACATGGAAGGATATATATATATATATATATATATATATATATATATATATATATATATATATATATATATATATATATGGGTTCCAGGTAAACTCTTAATGAATGACATATATAAGTAAGTTGTTTTACATGGAAAATGATAGCACTCTCTCCAACTAGTTCTGAGATTAACATTGCTCAGCCAGACACCAGATGATTTTGCACAGTGGCCTTATTTTCTCTACTGCAGTTAACCACTTGTCCTCCAGAGGATTTACCCCCCTTCCTGACCAGGCCATTTTTTACATTACGCTGCTGTGTTAGTTTAACCACTTGAGCTCCAGAGGATTTACCCCCCTTTTTGCTACTCGGCGCTGCACTAATTCAACTGATAATTGAGCGGTCATGCAATGCTGCACCCAAACAAAATTTACGTCCTTTTTTCACACAAATACAGCTTTCTTTCGGTGGTATTTGATCATCTGTGCGCTTTTTATTTTTCACGATATAAACAAAAAAAGGCCAAAAATTTTGAAGAAAAACAATATTTTTTACTTTCAGCTATAAAAAATATATAGTAAACTTAAAAGTAGGTTATAAATTTAGGCCAAAATGTATTCTGCTACATGTTTTTGGTAAAAAAAAATCCCAATAAGTGTATATTGATTGCTTTGTGTGGAAGTTATAGCGTCTACAAACTATGGTATAAATACTGCAACTTACGCCATTTTTCTGCTATACAGCGCTGCGCTAGTTTAACGGACAATTGCGCAGTCATGCAATACGGTACATAAATGAAATTTACATTCTTTTTTTCCCCACAAATTGAGCTTTCTTTTGGTGGTATTTGATCGGCTGTGCGATTTTTATTTTTTGTGCTATAAAAAAATGGCTGACAATTTTGAGGGAAAAAAAAAACAATATTTTGGACTTTTTGCTATAAAACATGTCCAGTAAAAAAAATGCAAAAATCAAATTTAGTCCTAAATTTCTGCCAAAATGCATTCTGCGACATGTCTTTGCTAAAAAAAACCAAACGTGTAAATTCATTGGTTTACGTGAAAGTTCTAGCATTTACAAATGGCGGGAAGATTCTGGGATTTTTAGAGTTTTTTTTTATACTAATAATGGCGGCGATCAGTGACTTATGGCAGCGACCAGCAACTTATGGTGGGACTGCGGGACTGCGGCGGACATTCTGACATTGGGGGGTACTGACTTGGGGTCACTGACATCCCCAAAAACACTAATACAGTGATCAGTGCAAAAAGAAAAACACTGACACTGTACTAATGGCAATGGGGAGGAAGGGGTTAACTTTATTTTGCAGGGAAGGGTTATCTGTGTGAGGGGGAGTGTTTTACTAGGGGGCGAGGGTGTGTACTGCACAGGACACCACTGATCGAGAGAGAGAAACTCTTCTGTCTCGATCAGCTCGTCCTCGAGCTGACAAGGAAGTGACAGACAGCACTGCTACTGCAGCTGTGCTCTCTGTCACTGTTTACCGCCGATCGCCGGGAAACAGCAGCTAAGGACCGGCTGTGACCCGGCGACTGACATCCGCGGTGGTGATCGGCGGGACAGATAGGGCAGTGGCGCGCCTCGTGCGCCCCCTATTTGTTCACAAAACACACGTTTTGAAACGTGGTTTTGCCTGCTAGTGCCGCCCTGTCGCCATATTTCTACAGTGGCTGGGTGGCAAGTGGTTAACTGACAATTGCACGGCCATGCAATACTAGACCCAAATGAAATTTATGTCCCTTTTTCCCACGTATAGAGCTTTCTTTTGGTGGTATTTGATCACCTGTGTGTTTTTAATTTTTTGCGCTTAAAAAAAAAAGACTGACAATTTTGAGAAAAATACAATATTTTTGACTTTTTGTTATTAAACATGCCCAGTAAAAAATTAAAAAAATCTAATTTAATCATAAATTTAGACCAAAATGTATTCTGCTCCATGTCTTTGCTAAAAAAAAATCCAAATATGTGTAAATTAATCGGTTTACATTAAATTTATAGCGTTTACAAATGGCGGTATATATACTGGGATTTTCAATTTTATTTTTTATTTTACTAGTAATGGCGTTGATCACGACTTATAGCGGGACTGCGGCGTGCATTCTGGGGGGACACTGGGGGGAACTGACTTGGTGTCACTGACATCCCTAGTGACACCAATACAGTGATCAGTGCTAATAAAAAGCACTGACACTGCACTAATAGCACTGGGCAGGAAGGGGTTAACATGTGGGGCAATCAAAGGGTTAACTGTGTTGCTGTTTTACTGTGGGCTGTGTTAGTGCTTTACACCTTAAGCACACTGCTATGCAGAGCCATGCAAAGCAGTGTGCAGGAGCTGACAGGGGAGAGAACTGTATTGTTTACATACAGTTTTCCCCCTCCATGGGTAATACTCGGTGATCACTGGGTGCCGGCGTGTAATCACCGGCTGAGACCTGGTGATTCACAGCCGAGGCTACAAATAGTGGCGTGACTCGCCCGGAAATGCAAATTCAAGTATATATATATGTGATTTTGCGCACCCCTGTTGTCCTGTAGCAGTACATCTGCTATAGGCTGGTGGGAAAGCAGTTAAGCAACAAAGCAGAGTCACCTCCTTGCCTCCAGCCTATGATTGGACAGTGAAAGAGCAGCAGCACATAGATGAAGTAATGCCTCTATCCTTCCCTCCCGTTGACATGTTCTTTGGCACCAAATCTATATACAGTACATTTGATTGGCTCCTAGTGCCTTCTCTCCCTTTCCCAATTTAAATTCTACTCTACAAAGAATTACGGAACAAAATTAATTTTTTTAAATGTCATAATTTGTTGTGGATAGCGGCATTCATTGGAGTCTTACATCTTTCTGACTGGGGTCACTCTGGAATTTGAAAGGGTATATATGGACAAAAACAAAAATGTTCAGTACATCTGAGCAAAGCATGTACCTTTCCCATGTTTTGTCTTTTTAAAAACACTACAGCACCTGTTGATCCTACCAGAAATACAATGAGAAACTAACTTCCTGTTTGATTGGAGGACCCTATTGCAATGAAATCTTAACCCCAGCTGCATGCATATATGCAGCCCTGTTAAAACTACTTACCGTAATGAGAGCATGCTCCCTGTGTTCTCCCAGCACAGTAGCTGGAAGTGATTGGCAAGTTCTTGATCCATACTTGCAATCGGGAGCTTTCCGATCATGTGACCACTGTGATGGCCAGTCAAAGTGGTCACATGACCCAAAGGCCCACATCCACCTCCCAGCTTTTAAAATCCTTAAAGCGCTGGGAAGTGGTCGTACCAAAGGGTTACAGAGTAACTCCATTTTTGTTGGGAAAAAAATAAATTCCCTCTGAGTGATCCTTTGCAGGGATTTTAGGAAGTCTGTTGCAGATTCCTACCTTTTTTGCTCTTAATAAAAAGTGGTTTGCTCTTCTTTGTCTTTTGGATCTGAATGGGAATGACTTTTTTATTACTGATCAGCTGATTCACATTCAGAGCTCTAATGAGGAGAGTAACAAGGTCTGCATACCTTTGGAAGTGATTAACCCTTTAGGAGCATCTCACTAAAAAGGACATTTTTGTTGCAGAGGATGCCAAAAAAATGGACTTGTATCTTAGTACAGACTTCTTTGAAAATCAGTGAGCCAATAACACAAGCAGGAAAGGACATTTCAGGGGAGTGTTTGTCCACCAACTGTGTACATAATGCCTCCAGGTTGCCGTATTGCATTACATTTTACAGGAAATTACAGCGCTGAAGATTGAAAAGGAAAGGTCATTTTTAATCAATTACAATATGGCTTGTGTAGCAATTGTATGTGATATATGTCTATATATATATATATATATATATATATATATATATATATATATTTATTTCTTCTTTTTTTTTTTTTTGGGTTCTCTGTAGGACTACAAAAAAACTTCCCTCTATGAGATGAGGAAATGAGGTGTTATATAGTCCATCCCATCAGAACTAAGCAGGACTTGATTGTCAAAAGACGTATTATTTACTCTAGAACTTCGTAGAATTAAAGTAATTTAAAAAAAAAAGAGCTAGGCAGGGCTGACAACACTGCTTGGGAACTCAGTTAAGTTAAGAATGTTAGGAGCATACTAAGGTGTCCGTTTATGACACAGAGAATAGCTGCGATTCAGAGGATCGCAGCTATTCTCTGGTCATTCACAGTTTATGACACTCAGGAGATCAGCGGAGAACATGTTCACCCTTCACTGGAGATCTGTGTTCTCCCTCCATATTCTCTAGCCCAGAGCTGGAGAATCAGAGGGACCGCAAACTAAGCAGCGATAATTTGCCTCTGCTTAGTAAACTGATTTATTACTGTAATCTCGCAAGATTATAGTAAAATCAGCCGTTTTCCAGCGTTTGTAGACCGTTCTCCCTTCGTTCGGAGAACTGCTTCATAAAAGGCATTCACTGGAGGTCTGTGTCCTCCCTCCAGATTCTCCAGCCCAGAGCTGGAGAATCGGAGGGACTGCAAACTAAGCAGCGATAATTTACTTCTGCTTAGTAAACTGATCTATTACTGTAATCTCACGAGATTATAGTAAAATCAGCCGTTCTCCAGCGTTTGGAGACCGTTCTCCCTTCGTTCGGAGAACTGCTTCATAAAAGGCATTCACAGGAGAACTGTGTTCTCCGAGAATGCCAGAGAACTGAGCAGCGATCTATTACCGCTGGTTCATAAACGGACACCTATATTTTCAGCAGATCAATGGGTATTTTTCTTTACTTGTAGTATTTGTATAGAGATAAAACATTGGACAAATTAATGTATTGCAGAGATGTCAGTTCTCACTCTGCTCCTTGGCATCACTTTAAATTCTCTCTGCTTTAACCACTTGAGCTACAGAAGGTTTCACCCCCGTCATGACCAGGCCATTTTTTTGTTTTTTGGCACTGTACTACTTTAACTGGTAATTGCACGGTCATGCAATGCTGTACCCAAACAAAATTTATATCATTTCACACAAACAGAGCTTTCCTTTGGTGTTATTTGATCACCACTGGAGTTTTTATTTTTTGCGATATAAATGAGAAAATAAAGACAGTTTTGAAAACAAACAATATTTTCTACTTTATGCTATAAAACATATTCAACAAAAAATTTTAAAATAAAATTTCTTCATAAATTTAGATCAAAATGTATTCTGCTGTCTTTGGTAAAAACAAATCTCAATACATACAGTTGTGCTCAAAAGTTTACATACCCTGGCAGAAATTGTGAAATTGTGGCATTGATATTGAAAGTATGACTGATCATGCCAAAAAAAATGCTTTTTTATTGAAGGATGATGATCATATGAAGCCATTTATTATCAAATAGTTGTTTGGCTCCTTTTTAAATCATAATGATAACAGAAATCACCCAAATGGCCATGATCAAAAGTTTCCATACCCTGGAATGTTTGGCCTTGGTACAGAGCAGCCGGCAGCTGTGATGCTTCTGACTGAGCATATAAGAAGACACCTGTAGTTTTCCAGACTGAAATTTCATAGTGGAATGGCACAATAATTGGCCATATCTTGCGTACCTGCCTGGAGAGGAGGTTTACTACCACTAAGCCTGTCCTTGAGGGGGAGACCACTACGGGGAGAGGGACGTGATCCCAGAGGAGTCTCTTGCATGGAGGATCTAGTATAGTGATCCAAAAAGTGTTTTGGCCCCTGGCGGGTCGAGGCAAGGAGGTGAGCGAGCAATACAGCCATTTGTGGATACGTGTCATTACCCACTTTCACGGGGCGGGGAGGACTGACCATTTGGAAACTCGGGCAATGCCCGAGGGCCCGGGGTCAGTAGGGGGCCCCATGAGATGCCCTTGGTACCTTTTTCATAGGCTTTTTTGAGTTTGGGCAAGGACACAAGGGCCCCATTATCCCCTATTGCCCAGGGGCCCCATGAGTTCTCAGTCCGCCCCTGTTCACGGGTGTTTGTTAATTTTGAAGGATTAGGTGTTTTTACACCATTTTGGACTTTTTTCCACCTGCATAAAAGGGACATGCGTTGCTCCTGGATTGTATATGATATTCACGTTTGTGACATTTTGTAAGCACTATCACGAATGCAGTTATGTGTATGTTGTTTGCTGACACTCTTTTTGTATTTCAGCTATTTGTTTTTGTCTTTGTTTATTTTTTATGTGTACACATGCGTTTTTGATTGTCCCAATTTGGACACACTTGGTATATTGGTCCCATTTGGACCTTTTTTTTTTTTCTTCATTTATCATCACCAATAGATCCTATTAGGATCATTTTTGGGCACTATTATGCACTAGTCTCATTTGGACTATTCTGCACATTTACATAATTTATAGATCCCATTAGGATCATTCCATACACACAGTTGTGTGATTATTGAGTTCACTTACTTTTTCACTTATTTGTGTTTCACAGTACCCTTCTTCACATATTCTTGATCCTTGAGAGATCATGGTGTATATTTAGAATTCACAGCCCACAGGCTGTGCTTATTAGATAAAGTCACTATATATACTTTGTCATATGTCACATATATATTTATTTTATTTGTTTATAGAAGTTTTGATACATATTTCCACTTCACCAGTGCGTTTATATTTATGCAGTTCTGTTATTAGCGCTACGTCATTTATTTTACTATATTAGCAACACTATCAACCCATGCCAGGGTGCTAGGTGTAACTCTGGATTCTGAACTATCCTTTTAGGCCCACATTCAATCCCTGTCCAAATCATGCCGCCTCAACCTCCGCAGCATCTCCAGAATACGCCCCTTTTTAACCAATGATACCACAAAGCTCCTAATTTACTTCCTGGTTATCTCTCGCCTCGACTACTGCAGCTCCCTCCTCATTGGCTTACCTTTACATAGGCTATCCCCCCTGCAGTCTATCATGAATACTGCTGCCAGGCTCATCCACCTTACCAACCATTCAGTGTCTGCTACCCCTCTCTGCCAATCCCTCCACTGGTTTCTACTTGCCCAAGAATAAAATTAAAAATACTAACAACAACTTACAAATGCCCCCAGCTACATCACCAACCTGGTCTCACAATATCAACCAAACCACTCAAGACCTCTCAAGACCTTCTACTATCTAGTTCCCATGTCACCTCCTCCCATGTTCGCCTCCAGGACTTCTCCCAAGCTTCTCCCATCCTATGGAACTCCCTACTCCAATCTGTCCAGCTATCTCCTAATCTATCCACCTTTAGACAATCCATGAAAACCTTTCTCTTTAAAGACGACTATCCTGCTTCTACCTAGTAAACCACCTTTTATTTCCTCCATCAGCTCATCCCCCCACAGTTATTACCTTTTGTATCACTCAACCCTTCCTCCTAGATTGTGAGCTCTAACAAACAGGGCCCTCTGTTTCCTTTTGCACCACATTGTATTGTAACTGTAATGTCTACCTTCATTTTGTAAAGCGCTGCACAAACTGTTGGAGCTATATAAACCCTGTATTATAATAATAATAATAATAATAATACTAATTGACACTGGGGGAACTGACTAACTGACATTGACATCACGAGTGACAATACAGTGATTTGTGCTAATAATATACACTATCACTGTACTAAGGACACTGGCTGGGATGGGGTTAACATTTAGGGGCAATAAAGGGGTTAACTGTGTGCCTAACAATGTTTACTAAGTGTAACGTGTGCTGATTTTACTAAGAAATGTGCCAGTCTTTACTCTCTGCTTTGCAAGGAAAGAAACAGCACATTGCTGCTGTCTGTAGAGAACACTGTGTTGTTTGCCAACAAAGGGCTCTCTTCCGTCATTCACTCAGCTGATCATGTATGGCCTGGACCACCTTGTGCGCACCAAATGCCTTTGCATTAGGCATTTTGTGCACACAACTAATATTTTTATATAAATATTATCTTGTAAAAGTTGCAATGACATCATCACTGTGCTGTACATAGCCTGTGCAAAGATCAGAGCTGTGGGAGGGACCCAGAAGGACCCACCCACTACATATTGTCTGCAGAAAATACAGGAGGGGGGTGGAGACAGGACCAAGCACTCTGCACAATGAAAGAGAGCAGTGTCTGGTCTACAAGAAGCTCCTGAACAGAGGCAGATTTTTACATTGGTATATTGCATAAATCTGAAAGAAATATCCAAAACACACAAAGATTCAAGTAAGTGTCAGGGCTCCAGGTATGACCAGAGGTATGTGAACTGACGCAGGGAAACGCAGGCTTCAGATATGTGATAAACAATATAATTTATTAATACTAACAATACAAAACGCAGTGCAATACTAAAACATAACAGTGCAAACGAACCAAACCAAACCACCCACAGATAACAATACATACAATGCAAGCGTCGTCAGGCAGGCCGGGTCAATAACAATCGGGCAGGTAGGTACAGGGGGAGCAGGCAGAGAGTAGTCAGGTCACGAGCCGGGTACAGCAACTAATGGGCAGGTAGGTACAGGGGGGGGTCAGGCAGAGAATGGTCGGGGTCACAAGCCAGGGATCAAAACAGGAGAAGTAGCAGAGGTCCAGATCAGGCAGGGTTGGCAACGAATCAGACAGGGACAGGAACAGGAACAGGAACAGGAATACAGGATACAGGGGCCCATAGAAAAACACACACCAAGGCCCAGACTGCAGGTCTGGCCATCCCTTAAATACACCTGCATATTCAGCTTCAGGTGTTTGGCTGGCGGCAGGGTTGAGTCTCTGATTGCTGGGAGCACCCGCTGGCCAGCCCTGGTACTGCAGCCCACAAGGCAGGTGAGTCCCACCATTACTGGCAAGTCCATTCCTGCAGTAAGAATGCACATGCCTCTTAGACAATATTTGCTTATATTTTCATTCTTCTACTTTTTCTGGAATACATTGCCATATCAACTCCTTATACAGTCAAGTCCATAAATATTGAATTTGAAATGAAACAAACAAGATGTGCTTTAACTGCAGACTGTCAGATTTAATTTGAGGGTATTTACATCCAAATCAGGTGAACGGTGTAGGAATTACAACAGTTTGCATATGTGCCTCCCACTTGTTAAGGGACCAAAAGTAATGGGACAGAATAATAATCATAAATCAAACTTTCACTTTTTAATACTTGGTTGCAAATCCTTTGCAGTCAATTACAGCCTGAAGTCTGGAACTCATAGACATCACCAGACGCTGGGTTTCATCCCTGGTGATGCTCTGCCAGGCCTCTAATGCAACTGTCTTCAGTTCCTGCTTGTTCTTGGGGCATTTTCCCTTCAGTTTTGTCTTCAGCAAGTGAAATACATGCTCAATCGGATTCAGGTCAGGTGATTGACTTGGCCATTGCATAACATTCCACTTCTTTCCCTTAAAAAACTCTTTGGTTGCTTTTGCAGTATGCTTTGGGTCATTGTCCATCTGCACTGTGAAGCGGCGTCCAATGAGTTGTGAAGCATTTGGCTGAATATGAGCAGATAATATTGCCCGAAACACTTCAAAATTCACTCTGCTGCTTTTGTCAGCAGTCACATCATCAATAAATACAAGAGAACCAGTTCCATTGGCAGCCATACATGCCCACGCCATGACACTACCACCACCATGCTTCACCGATGAGGTGGTATGCTTAGGATCATGAGCAGTTCCTTTCCTTCTCCATACTCTTCTCTTCCCATCACTCTGGTACAAGTTGATCTTGGTCTCATCTGTCCATAGGATGTTGTTCCAGAACTGTGAAGGCTTTTTTAGATGTCGTTTGGCAAACTCTAATCTGGCCTTCCTGTTTTTGAGGCTCACCAATGGTTTACATCTTGTGGTGAACCCTCTGTATTCACTCTGGTGAAGTCTTCTCTTGATTGTTGACTTTGACACACATACACCTACCTCCTGGAGAGTGTTCTTGATCTGGCCAACTGTTGTGAAGGGTGTTTTTGTCACCAGGGAAATAATTCTTCGGTCATCCACCACAGTTGTTTTCCGTGGTCTTCCGGGTCTTTTGGTGTTGCTGATCTCACCGGTGCGTTCCTTCTTTTTAAGAATGTTCCAAACAGTTGTTTTGGCCACGCCCAATGTTTTTGCTATCTCTCTGATGGGTTTGTTTTGTTTTTTTCAGCATAATGATGGCTTGCTTCACTGATAGTGACAGCTCTTTGGATCTCATCTTGAGAGTTGACAGCAACAGATTCCAAATGCAAATAGCACACTTGAGATGAACTCTGGACCTTTTATCTGCTCATTGTAATTGGGATAATGAGGGAATAACACACACCTGGCCATGGAACAGCTGAGAAGCCAATTGTCCCATTACTTTTGGTCCCTTAACAAGTGGGAGGCACATATGCAAACTGTTGTAATTCCTACACCGTTCACCTGATTTGGATGCAAATACCCTCAAATTAAAACTGACAGTCTGCAGTTAAAGCACATCTTGTTCGTTTCATTTTGAATCCATTGTGGTGGTGTATAGAGCCAAAATTGTTAGAATTGTGTCGATGTCCCAATATTTATGGACCTGACTGTATGAGCACCTACCAAAATCAACAATTTATTATGACAAATTAACTGAAATCAATTTAAAAAAAACTAAGCAAAACCTATACAATATATTTAAACAAAAGGTAACATGCCAACAATATACACATCTTGTATTAGAATGTACTTGAATGATGATGAAACATTAACCACTTGCCCTCCAGAAGATTTACCCCCCTTCCTGACCAGGCTATTTTTTTGTGATACAGGGCTGCGTTATTTGAACTGACAATTGTGCGGTCATGAAAAACTGTAATAAATTAAATATATGTCATTTTTTTCCCACAAACAGAGCTTTCGGTGGTATTTGATCACTTCTGACAATTTTGAAAACAAAATACAATATTTTTGGCTTTTTGCTTTAAAACATATCCAATAAAAAAAATGAAAAAGTAAAATGTCTTCATAAATGTAGGCCAAAATGTTGCTGCATGTCTTTGCTAAAACTAATCCCAATAAGTGTTTAATAATTGGTTTATATGAAAGTTATAGCATCTACAAATGGCAGTATATATACTGGAATTTTTGTGTATTTATTTTATACTAGTAATGGCGGCAATCAGTGACTTATAGAGGAACTGCGGGACTACAGCAGGCATTCTGACAGTGGGTGGGAACTGACCAACTGCCACTAACATCTCCAGTGACACTAATACAGTGATCAGTGCTAATAAAAAGCATTGACACTGTACTAATGACACTGGGCAAGAAGGGGTTACCATCTGGGGTGATCAAAGGGTTAACTGTATTAGGGAGTGTTTTTTATTGAGTACTATGTTTTAATGTTTTAATAAGCAGACCCTCTGCTGTGCAGAGAGATAGAAAGCAGCACATCCATGCTGACAGGAGAGAGATCTGTGTTGTTTGCACACAGGTCTCTCCCTTCTCAGCTTGATCACCGAGTGCGGGGTAGAATGGCATGCAGGCGTGAGTCCCCTACCTGGGAATGCAAAATCATGTATATTTACATGATTCTGGACAGTGAAGCCCCCTGTAGCAGTACATCTGCTATGTGGCAGCAGGCAAGCAGTTAATTGAACTAATTAAAGTGTTACTAAACCCACGACCCTGCATTTGCTATATCTGGTTTCCCACAGTACACAGAACATGGAAGTGCAATTATTTTAGTAAATATAAATTGCTAAATACCTTTTCTCATCAGCAGTTAGAGCAGTCTTGTGAGTTCAGCAGAGCACTAGTTAAAGCTTGTAGGAGAAGTTTTCTTTTTGCTCTAGAGGATGCAAAACCCCTGACCCTCTGTCTGGACAGTGCTGATTGGCCCAGTGCTGATCACATACACTCTCTCAAGAGGAAACAAAAAATACACACTACACTGAGCATGTGCTTAAGGGCCACAGGTTCAGTCTGTCTTATCAGCGTGGACATTTGAACAAGAGGAGTGGCAGAGAATTCGGGATCAAACAGTCTTTTTACACAAAGCAGAGGATTAACCTCTTAGGTTCCACAGTGAGTATAACAAGCATGCTTTACTGCATATACTGCATTTACTGCATTTTACTGTTGTGTGTTTAGTAACACTTTAATTGTTCATCTAAAAAAAGAAGATGGAAGGAGAAAGAAGGAGAAAGAGGAGAAAACATGTACTGAAATTGTTTTGCTTTTTTTAAAATATATTTCCCTGAATACATGTGTTAGTTTACCTTTACAGAAAAAGGTAAATTAACACTGTACACCCTCCTCACCTCCCTTGTCCCAGCTGTAATCTGCAAAGTTGCTGAGCAGCACCCCAGCAACTGGTCCAGTGGTCCAGGGAGTTGAAATCCCTGCGCTTCTCCCTTTTCCCCATGCAGCACTACCAGGATGAGCCAGATCGATTCTGATCAGTCAGCGCAGTCACAGTGAATGAATGAGGTCCATCTTGGATGCAGTGCATGGGGAAGAACATGGATCTCAAATGGGGGGGGGGGATTGTTAAGTGTTAGTTGATCTTAACTTTTTTTTCTGTGAAGATGAACTAACCCTTCAAGCTAGGCTGTAATTCTGTAGGAGAAAAATTCACCCATAAATTGTGAATATAATACTAGCCTCATCCAGTCATGCACACATAATAACAAGGCAATAGTCAAAAACCCTTTTTTGAGAAATGGTTAAGCTACCCTCGTTGCTCACTCCCTATGAAAATTTTTCTTGCCAGACTGTCCTCTTATCTTGTAATTAAAATACTTTGCTTCACAGATGCAAAATAAATGTGCAGATCATGAGTTTCAGCTTCACTCTGACTTTCCTGACTGAAAGCATGTTTAGGATTAGTGACTCACAAAGGTAAAATCCAGTGACAGTTAGTTAACTAACATTATTAGAAGGAAGCAAGCAATGGCAGCCTCTGTATAGTCCTAAGTATGGGTTTCCTTTATGTAGATGAGACTTTCCCAAGAATGGGCTACACATTTGGCAACAGGTAAAAGAAGATGTGACACCTTATGGCTACAAATGGCTCAGTTTGTTCTTTGTTTTGTCTCCTCTTGTTTATAGATGAACTTCAGATTCAGTTCAACTATGAGTTTAGCTTGAACCTGAGCTGAGGACACCAGTGGCCACACAGCCACTGATTGTTATGGTGAACCATAACTACCAATATCACTTTGCAAAATAAACAAAGAAAAACAAAAAAAAAACCATAGGGTTCCTCAAAAATTTATACCAGCCTTCTATACTAGATAGGGGTCTGGTATGGAATTTAAGAGGGGACTCCACACAAAAGAACAAAAGCATAGGGTCCCCCAAAAAATCCATACCAGATACTTACTCAAGCATGAAGCCTCGCTGCACAGGAAAGAATGTGCATCAAGTGTGCAGACCCCTTCTTGAACCATACCAGGTCATATACTCTCAAATACGAGAGGGTAACTTTCTAGGGGGAACTCGGCAAATCACTTCATCTTCTAATTGAATGGGACAAGGGTCTCATCCCCACATCCTTGGTCCAATTGATGTGGGGCACTATGTGGAGAAAAAACTAATTTTAATGCATAATCTGAAAGCTCCTTTTTAAATATAAAAGGTGCCCCCAGATATACATCCCCTCCATGTGAATGAGTAAGAGGTAAATAGTAACTAAACACACAGCACATTTTAATAAAGTCCTTTTTTTGGAAAAATGTCTTGTGATATAAATCCATTGTCAGTCATGTTGTCCAGCAACGTAGTTCCACATCAATCATGATTAATGAAGCGTGCCGTATGTTGAGAGCATGTGACCTGATATGGTTCAGGAGGGGGTCATGCTTGCTGCACGCTTGGATAAGGATCTGTTATGGATCTGTTGGTTTTATGCATAAGGTAACACCTTAGCAGATCTTCATCAATGATCCAGATCCAGAAAGGATTTTTAGCGGAACCCATGTCTTTTTTTAATTTTCATTTTGTGGGGGTCCCTCTTCCTCTCTACCATACCCTCAACTAGGATAAGGATCTGGTATGGATGTTGAGAGGAATCCTGGCCACTTTATTTACAAACAAACCAAAGCAGCTAGGAAAGATCATTTAGTGGCATTTTAAATTGTGTATTTTTTTTCTTGTAAACATTTCTTTGCTGTAGTACATTGTACAGGTGTGCCATTTAAGATGCAGGTTTAGGGCATCCACCAAACATGTTATTTAACAGTTAGCCTACAGGGCACTTATACCCCCTTCCTGCCCAGGCCAATTTCCAGCTTTCAGCGCTGTCGCACTTTGAATGACAATTGCGCGGTCATGCAACACTGTACCCATATGACATTTTTATAATTTTTTTTGTGACAGATAGAGCTTTTTTTTGGTGGTATTTAATCACCTCTGGGTTTTTTATTTTTTCTTAAACTAACCAAAAACCACTGAAAATTTTGAAAAAAAATGTTTTTCTTAGTTTTTATAAAATTTTGTAAATAAGTGATTTTTCTCCTTCACTGATGTGCGCTAATGAGGCTGCACTGATGGGCACTGATAGGCTGCACTGATGGACACTGATAGGCGGCACTGAGGAGGAGGCACTGGTAGGTGGCACTGATGGGCATTGACAGGCATCACTGATGGGCACTGAAAGGCAGCACTGAAACATGGCACTGATACGCAGCACTGATAGGCGGCACTGATAGGCGGCACTGACTGGCACAATAGGCGGCACTGACTGGCACTGATAGGCGGCACTGACTGGCACTGTTAGGCAGCACTGACTGGCACTGTTAGGCGGCACTGACAGGCACTGATAGGCGGCACTGATGTGCACTGATAGGCAGCACTGACTGGCACTGATAGATGGCACTGATTGGCAACACTGATAGGCGGCACTGATTGGCATTGATAAGTGGCACTGACTGGCACTGATGGGTGACACTGAAAGGAAGCTCAGATGGGCACTGATATGTGGCATTGATGTGCACTGGTAGGCACTGATATGTGGCACTGATGGGCACTGGCACAAGGCACTGATGGGCACTGGCAGGTGGCATTGATGAGCACTGACATAAGGCACTGATGGACACTAACAGGTGGCACTGCTGGGGCTACACTGGTCATCAGGGCACACTGATCATCAGTGCCCTGATGATCAGTGTACATGTCCCCTCCACGGAAAGCCGATCACCGGCTCTCCTCTCGAGCGCTCAGCGTGACAGCTCGAGAGGAGAGAAATCCCGATAACCGGCATTTCCCTGTTTACATGTGATCAGCTGTGATTGGACACAGCTGATCACATGAACGAGCCGACATCTTCTGCTCTTTCCGTGATCTGTGATCCTCTGTGTCCGAGGGACACAGCGCACTGCCGATCGCCGCACTGCACACTCCCTGAGCCGCGCATGCGCAGAACGAGAGAACCACCTTGTGCCCGTCATATTACTATATGTTGGGCGGTAGGTGGTTAAATGATTGTGTATTTTTCATGTTTCACTTTAAGGCTGACCATACATTATACAATTTTCTTGTACAATTTTCCTTTAGATTTACCAAAACCATTTAATATGAGGTCAAACCTAAGTGCCTTAAATTTGTATGCAATCAAGCAGGCCCTTGCTCAAAGGAAATTGAACAAGTGAATTGTACAGTTTTTAGCCAGCTTAAAGTGTTACTAAACCCAGGTCCCTGCATTCACTATATCTGGTCTCCCATAGTACGCAGAACATGGAAATGCAATTATTTTAGTAAATATAAACTGCTAAATATCTTTTCTCATCAGAAGTAAGAGCAGTCTTGTGGCTTTAATCAGTGTTCATCCAAGCACTAGCTAAAGCTTGTAGGAGTTTTCTTTTTGCCCTAAGAGGATGCAAAACCCATGACCTCTGTCTGACCATTGTTGATTGGTCCTGTGTTGATCACATGCACTCTCCCAAGAAAAAAAACTAGAGAGCAATACACACCAAACTGAGCACGTGCAAAATGCCTGCACTTCAGTCTGTCTTACCAGGAGACAAGAGGTGGGTGCTTAGACAAGGGGAGGAACAGAGCAATCAGGATCAAACGGCCTCTTTACACAATGCAGAGGATTAACCCCTTAGATTTCACACTGAGCATAAAAAGCATGCTTTACTGCATATACAAGCTGATTTAACTGTTGTGGATTCAGTAACACTTTAAGCCTTATTAAAAAGCTGCTGCTTGACAAATGGTATTTTTTTAAGTTCAATGACTTTATTACGTTTTCAGACAGGTATGAATACAATATGCCATGAAAATTGAAAAGAAAAAGGAAAAGAAACATTATATATATATATATATATTTATATTTATATATTTATATATATATATATATATATATATATATATATTCTTTTTTTTTTTTAAAGGAAGACTGTACATCCAACAATATACATACATTGGAAATCAACAGTAGAAGCAAAAAAGGAATCATATGAGTCAGATACGTATCTCCAGAACACAGTCAGTACATATCGATACGATATTCAACATTTGTAAGGGTTAACCCTTTGAGGACAAAGGGACGTATTTGTCCCATGTTTTTAATTGCCTGTATCATCTGATTAAGAACTTAAAATACTTTTTTTTTTGGTTTGAGTCAAAATATTAGTTCTTATCAACAAATGGATCTAGCTTTTTGCCAATTATTTCATGAAATGGCTTAGTTACAGCAACTGAAGTGTACGAACTTTAAAAACAAAAAATTGATTTTTTTGGCGTTCCATAATCTTATGGTCCTCAAAGGGTTAACAATTGCCAAGAATTACAAGCGCCTTTTTTTTTTTACAAATTGTATTTTTTTTAAATTTGTTGCATTGTTACATTTTTCACCTTGGCAGTGCCCAAATCCCCATATCCTTTTTATTTCACAATCCTTTTCCTATCAGCCTTGTAAATGGTTTTGTTTACAAACTTGGAAAATGTCATTGAGTGGCAAATGGTATATTTTTCTAAATGTCACTTTTATTTTAGTAAGTCCTCCAGGTATGCCATTTCACAGACAGCTTTAAGGCAACCCCCAAGCATGTTATGTAAATACATTGTGCTTTTCTAATGCGTCACTTTAAGTCTTATTAAAAGAGCTGTTACCAACAGTGATGGACCTAAACACCCTCCTGTTCGGTTTGCTTTCTACCGCAAACTTCGAACCTTTACTAAGTGGTATCTTATCGCATCCAAGTATGCGGTAAGATACCGCACAGCATTTTCCCAAAAGAGTTGACATTCACTAAAATACAACATGACTTATTTTATTAAGTCATGTGGTATTTTAGTAGTGAAAACATGCAGTAACGTTTCAGCTGACAGCAGGGTTCCCCACTGGCAGATGCATATAAAAGGAATTACTGGCATTTAAAATTTTAGCAAAAAAATGGTGTGGACCCCACCCCCATCCATACCAAACCCTTCAGGTCTGATATGAATTTTGAGGGGAACCCCCATGCCATAATATTTTTTTCAAATGGCGTGGGGTCCCCCAAAAATCCATACCAGATTCTTATCTGAGCATGCAGCCCAGCAGGTCAGGAAAGTTGGACAACAAGCCCCCCCCACTTCCTGAACCATACCAGGCCACATGCCCTCAACATGGGGGGGGTGCTTTGGGGCAGGGGGGCTCCCTCCAAAAGCACCTTGTTCCCATGTTGATGGAGACAAGGGCCTCTTCCCCACATCCCTGGCCTGTGGTTGTGGGGATCTGCAGCTGGAGGAGAGCTTATCTGAATCTGGAAGCCACCTTTAACAAAAGGGCCCCCAGATCCCACCCCCTTATGTAACAAAAGGGCCCCCAGATCCCACCCCCCCTTATGTGAATGAGTATGGGGTACATGGTACCACTACTCATTCACAAAAAAAAATGTAGTGTAAAAAATGACAGTAGACAGTCTTTGACAAGTCCTTCATTAAAAAACAGCAAAAAATTAAAAAAAATGTCCCCCGAAGAAGATCCAACATCAATCAGTGCCTGCAGTGATGCCCGCAGTGATGCCCGCAGTAATGCCCGCAGCCACCGCCGACCTGAAAAGAGAGAAAAAACAGAAGGAAAAAAAAAGGCTCCGCTCTCGACTCTGGCTCCTGTCGTCTGACAGCTCCACTTCCAGCTTCAACTTCAACTCTTCTGAAAAGACTGTCAACAAGGTTTAGGAGTGTGTTTATGGGAATTTTTGACCATTCTTCCAGAAGCTCATATGTGAGGTCAGGCACTGATGTCGGAAAAGAAGGCCGAGCTCGCAGTCTCCACTCTAATTCATTCCAAATGTGTTCTATCAGGCTAGTCAAGTTCCTCCACCCCAAGCTTGCTCATCCATGTCTTTATGGACCTTGCTTTGTGCACTGGTGTGCAGTCATGTTGGAACAGGAAGGGGCCAATCCCAAACTGTTCCCACAAAGTTGGGAGCATGAAATTGTCCAAAATGTCTTGGTATGGTGACACCTTAAGAATTCCCTTCACTGGAACTAAGGGGCCAAACCCCAACCCCTGAAAATAAACCTCACACTATAATCCCACCTCCACCAAACTTTACACTTAGCACAATGCAGTCAGGCAAGCACCATTCTCCTGGCAACTGCCAAACCCAGACACGTCATTCAGATTGCCAGACAGAGAAGCATGATTTGTCTCTCCAGAGAGCATGTCTCCAGTGGCAGCTTGCTTTACACCATTACATCCGATGCTTTGCATTGCCCTTGGTGATGTAAGGCATGGATGCAGCTGCTCAGCCATGGAAACCCATTCCATTAAGCTCTGTACACACTGTCGTCATGCTAATCTGAAGGCTAAACATTGCACACAGTGCTCAGAAGTCATCAACTGTCTGCACAGTCAATAGCTAATATTGACAGTGCAGACAGTTGATGACTTCTGTGCACTGTGCTCTTCAGCATGTGCTAACCCCGCTCTGTCATTTTACGTGGCCTACCACTTCGTGGCTGAGTTGCTCTTGTTCCCAGTTGCTTCCACTTTATTATAACACCACTAACAGTTCACCGTGGAATATTAAGTAGCAAGGAATTTCACGAATAGACTTATTGCACAGGTGGCCGCCTATCACGGGACCACGCTTGAATTCACTGAGCTCCCGAGAGCGACCCATTCTTTCACAAATGTTTGTAGAAGCAGTCTGCATGTCTAGGTGCTTGGTTTTATACACCTGTGGCCATGAAGGTGATTGGAATACCTGAATCTAATGATTTTGAGGGGTGTCTCAATGCGTTTTGCATAGTGTAGTTACATGACAGCAATATAGGGTTTGTATTTAGAGCCCACATGGCACTCTTCTGCTAAACCATACAAGAATATAGGATTTCTGGAGTCCCCATCCAATTTAAATGTGAGCTTGATCTTAGAAAAATAATGTTTATTAAAGGCTTGACAGTTTTTCAGAGTGGACCTTCACTCCCTCATCTTGCCCATTATAAAATGACTTATGGCACATATAGTGCATCCAAATATCATTTTTAGACGTGTGATTTGTTTTGTTATGAATCTAAATTCAGACAAAGTATTCATTATTCGGATGTATCCAAAACCCATACCAGACCCTTATTAGAACATGCAGCTGACAGGCCAGGAAAGGAGGGGACCAGCAAGCGCTCACCCCTCTCCTGAACCATACCAGGTCACATGCTCATTTGGCAATATAGTATATGTGTTTATTGACCCATAGGTGGAGTTGTGTGTTGGTTTGGTGGGTATATGCATCCTGCATCCCATCCTACACCCACCTTGTGGTGCGGGTTGTGAATGGGTAATGACCGTTCTTGTTGGTAGAAGACATCGTTTTGCTCCTCTGTCCATCTGAGGGCAGGATGATGCTCCATATGGCTGTGCGCACTCACACTGGTTTAGTGGATGGGCGCTGACCATGAGGGTGGCATTACATGTAATGCGCTACCATGCATGAGTGATGACGCAGGATGCACGCGCCACAGTGATGTCATTCTCTGCTGCCATTTTGTCGCTGGATGGGGTGCAATTCGCTGCATGGAGCAGATATGAGGGGCTGGGATCAGCCTCATTTTTGGTGCATTTTGGTGGTGGAAGGTAGGAGAATCTAGATTGACGGCCGGGCAGAACACTCGCTGTTGTGACT